GGGGTTAAAAATGTGTTGACTGATAGATTAGAAGAGTAAAATAATGGGATAATAACAAAGTTAAACACCAGAGATTAATAACCCTGTCACTGTTAGATGAAAGTTGTTTTTTTGCGAAGTGCATCCCTGTTAACCAAAACAAGAGCAGGATAGTATTACAACATAGAGCCTTATGAATCCATTATTACGAATTTAATATCAATATCAAATTACTGAATGTTTTCATGTTGCTTATCGCATCATGAACACATTTCGATTTTTTGAATTTTAAAGCGTAATTAAAAGTTTGTTCAAATAACATTTTTTATGAATCTAGAATTACAATATTATTCCCAACATGGCTGAAATTATCTTAACTCGACAGGGCGTTGAAAACAAATTTTCTACATGAATATTATCCCAACTAAATTCACGAATCAGTATCAAAACAGCAGGAAAAGCCAATTTCACATAATCCCTCGCGCTCTGCGTTATTTCAAACATTAACACTTCTCGTTAATTCCGGCAGCTCTAAGAAAACCGTTTGTAACCTTTTTGTAACTCGACCAAATTTACGTTCAGACCTTATCCCACAAAGGAAGGCTAAATCCTTTCACAATTCTACAGAGTCTTTTTAACCTAAACGTCCCGTTCCGATCCACAGCTGTTTCGAATCCCCCGGTAATAATCACACCGAGGAGGGCCCAAGATCTTACGAGCATACCAGCTGTGAAAGCCAAACATTGCATCATCTGTATCTTGTTCGAAGTCGTTATTGAAACGCTTTTTCGCACTTACAAAACGCATGCTGATGTTGCCGAACACTATTTAAAGTTAATGTTACAATCGGATTAACTTGGCTATCTAACCTGAATCCTCCTCAAGCCGAATTTCGTAACGAGGACATGAAAGACGCTCTGCGGTGGTCATCACCAAATGAAGCAGCAAGACAAAGAAATCGCCACGGTCATCACTCCGGCCACCATCGGTCTTCACCAAATCCAATTGACCATTACTAATTCTGCAGGAAATTAGTATTTTAAATCAGAAGCCCGGACATTTTTACGTTCTGGGCCTAGCTAAATGGGATCGTTAAATTAACATAATCTAGCACTGAATGTGTTAAGGAACGCCGAGAGTGGTATCATGGGTTGCGCTCGCTGTTGGACTAGCGGGCCGCTGCTCGTTACTTCAGATTTACATGGCAGGCATTCATTGCAGGTTTTGTAAGAATTCTGTATCTATTTGCGGGGTGAAAAGGTGGCACATGTCCCCATTCAGGATTAGAAGAAACTCCAATCGCAATTATTCGGCTATGATCAGAGAATAAATTGTCACCGTCCACTCGGGGATTATTTATTTTGGGGTTTGTTTCTGTTTAAGATTTCCCAACAATGGATCGTCTCGATAAAGCGATCATTTTCTGCCTATGAGACTGAGATAAAACATACAGGAGAAATGGACATGGAGAGCATTGTCGGCTTATTTCAACATAAAAGGGACATAAAGACAGTTTCGGGTGTCGATATCGTTGTCAGGTGCAATCTACAAGTGGCTGATAGCGAGATAGAGGGGTGACATTTTGGTATTGCTGGCGTGAAGAATAGAATAGTCTCGTCTTGCAAATGTTTCAAAGATTAACGTCGTATACAAAACGGCGTATACAAAACACTAGATAGAATGACCGACGAAATCAGTCAGACATTCAACACCAGCTGTATGCGAAGCCGAATTGACACGGTATACCAAGAATACCTGATTCACTCAGTAACGAAGTATGCACTAAAGGACTTTCTTATAGATGAGATTACACTTAAAAATACACTCTTTGGAGGTAAATGCAACAAAGATATATTTTAAAATAAATTGTTTAATGCAATCATTTCCTAACCTGTCTAAATCGTTGTTATAGGCCCATAATATAGACATGCGCTCGATAAAGTAAATTTGACCAAAAATATATTTTAGCAAATATTGTTTAAAATGAATGTTCACCTACCTCTCCAAATTCTTGATAATGTAGATTTGAAGTGATATAAATACGATCGAAAAAACGACGATTTGCTTGAACAAAAATTTGTAAATTGTGTTATATCTTTGCAACAGGGACTAATGCTCAAGATAATTCTCATTAGGAATATTTTTATCAAAGTTATTTAACACAAATATTAACCTTCCTGTCTAAATATGTGTTACTGGCAATGTCTGTGAAATACACTCGGACACGTAAATGTATCCAAAGATATTTTGAACACACAAACAGATATGTATATGCTGATACAAAAAGTAAAGAAACATATAACAACGCTGCAGAAGTTGTTCTACTGATTTCAATAAAATATGACGTCACATATCGATGCACTTTGGGTCTGTTAGTGTCTAGTGTGTAAGCCAGGCTGTTAAACAATCTCAGTTTTGCTTTTCGTGTGTACGGACCCACAATCTCAAATGTTCCATGCGCGATAAGGTTAACCTAGTGGAACCAGCATTCTTTCTTCACGCCGAGGTTCGGTTCTCCACACGGGTTCGATATATGAAGAAGGCGTCTGGTGATACTGCTGAAAGCGGCGTAATACCCTACTCACTCACTCACTCACTCACTCACAGATGTTCCCTAAGTTATTTCCATCAGTATATTACTGATATTCTCTAAATTTACGTTTAAGTTTTTCGAATTTGAATGAAAGGTTACGCTAACACATTGTGTCAATGTAACTATATACAGTATTGATTCACAAGATTCACTGGAAGATGCCCTCATATAAACTGCCGGGTTAAAGAAAATGTTCACCCATGTTTGGTGGTGGCCTAAAATGAAACAAACAGAAATGGTCATTCAATGGTGATGTATTTGATACGAGTGTCAAAGTTGTTCTAAACCTTAGTTTTTCATTGTTTCGTCGACTGTTTTATGTAACATTTTGATATCTTTAGTAACTTTTAAATGAATTATATTTTCAAGTCTATATTTCATGTCTTTTGCCCGACAGTTTGGAACGAAGCCAAGGACAATGCAGGTAATATTGTTACAGAGAAGCCGTGTTTTGTATCATGTTCGTTTGGTCTGTAGTGTACACACTGAATTACGGATACAAAACACACACCTATTTAATATTCTGTAAATCCCCCTATTTATAAATTTGATATGTTTATGAGGACCAAACACTGTAATTTAATCCAATGTACATCTATGATGTTGTCTCCGCGTTTCTCGGGGATCCAGACTGTGTCTTTACTGATGCTTTCATCAATACGTGCGTATTTATCTAATAGTATTCTTTTTCACGCGGTATTACATAAAATCCGTTATTTTAGTATTTGTCACAAGAGGAAGTACGTGGTAGTATATCAACCTGCGTATTTGAAGAAGTATAAATAATTATCCATCAACAGGGCATGTGGATCATACAGGAATCGAAACAGGATTTCATTTTCATTTTCCAACGGGTAACCCCATTGCGTAATGTCACGGCGTGCCAGTCATGCTGAAATAAGCGTCCTGTCATGGAGATCGGAGACACAGATAAAGGCCACGGGAAACGACAACGTGCATGAGTGAGTGACGTGGGGTCTAATGCCACTTAATAGGTATAACGAGATGCGGAACCTAACACAAGGAAACACCAAGTGTCAATCTCGTTACAAACTGCAAACAACCCATATTTCTGTCATCTGAGAGTTTCAGATGTTAGTAATGGACATGTTTGTAAAATTAGTAATGGACACATTTATCTTTTCAAGGAACACATTTCTGTTTCAACGGGACTTAACGTTGTCTATTTGTTTGTAAATTAATGGGAAAATATATTTCGCTTTTTGAGTATTGTCACTCGCTACATGTGTGTTTCTGATGGGGGTGATGATGATGATGATGTTGACGACGGATATGATGATTATGAGGATGATGATGCTGACGATGCTGCTGCTGCTGCTGATGATGATGATGGTGTTAATAGTGATAATCGTGGTGGTGATTAATGGTGGTGAATGAGTGAAGTTTGGTTTAACGCTGCATTTCGAACACTGTTTTGGCGTGACGAGCCAGCGCTCTAAATATTAGGTTAGCCTAGACTAACATCTAGTCTCTGAAATGAACATATCGTACATAAAAAAACAGTTGTTCAGTTATCTTAATAAAAATATAATAAAAAGGAGCCCAGTGACTCTCTTCATTTTCAGATTTTTCTGATACTGTAGTGATCTAGACTTGCCAAACATTATAGACTTGCATGGGCTGTATTTGATATATATTTGTATCAGGGTCTGTAAGACAGACTAAGGTTAGCCCTCAACCTCGACATTCATATAATCGACGAAATAAAATGATGTATACGGTTAAATACACACAGTTCCAAAATGAAACGCCCGAGTATTGGAAACCTTCAAATATCCTATTTAGGCCTTAAAACTGAGAAGGGGATTAATTCAGGCTCTTAGAGCGGAGCCTGGAATGGGGATGGTTGTTTTATGAAATATATGTTCTGGGGTTTGTAAGAGAAGACTGCCCCTGAGATGTAAGCGTTCACATATGGCGTATTACAGGCTGTGGGCATTGTATTGTTCTTATTCTCAAATACAGTTCTACACGGGTATTCTTTTTTGTTCTGCGATCTGAAGACAGCGGGGTGACCACCCAATGACGTCGTGTCCACTGTACCAAACAGCAGCTGAATCATTTAACGCTTACTCATCACCTCTCGCATTGGCGTGCCTGTAGTCTGTCTCCCAGTCCCTCAACCGTATTATTTTCCCTTCGCTAATATGCAACCCTAAATGAAGCAAGTCTGGACTTTCAGTAGGCTCCGGTTCTGAATCTCCCATTTTACTGGGGCTCCTATTTAGTTTACGTGAAGCTGCTTGTTTCTAGCGAGATTATATTAAATCATATTTTCAGACTAGGCATTAGTCGAGCGCGCTTGCGTCTGAGTCAGTTCTGTAGCATGCGAGTTCGAATTACAATGCCGTGCCCTGCTCATGTATACATGAATCCACGAACAACCGTTTCATAGTCAGTCATTTAATGTAGAAATGAACGTGGGGAGTTCGAAAACCAGAGCCCCTGTGAACATAGGAAATCTGTTTTGTATTATGTAAATGAACGTTTCAATAACTGTTTCGTAATATCCAATGTTTGAGGATCTTGCAAGGATTTTTTTTTATTTACAAGCCTGCCTTTGATCAGGAAGTTATGTTTTTCTTTAGTTTTTCAAGTTCTGTGTATTGGGCAAAGATCGCACCAGGCATGTGAAAGATAAATACATACTAGTAAGATACATACATTTATGTATAGATACATAAAAACATAATGTGTAAATTGCAAATGATAGATGTCTACCCTAACCATAGTATTGCAGGATACATACATATATACATCTATATACATCCTGCTATATCAAAACACTTTTAGTTATGAATATGTATTTTACCAAATATTTGATTGAGCCTATACACTACTGGTTTAAACACAAACACAAACATCGCATAGATTTAAGCCTCACTGGTGTCTGAACAATGGCCGGATACGGTCCTCTGGCAGCAATAATAACATAATTTTCTGACCTTGCATCTTCTGTCAGCTGTAAATAATCGTTTTCGAAATTAATACCTCCATGAGCTATTTATCTTCGACGTACCATGGAAATTCTTAGATAAAGTTGGTTTTGGTTTCGTACCATGGGCGTTATTACAGTAATCCCTTCTATCAGAGTCCTAGTTCCTGTACAACGACAACTAGGTATACTTAGAATTATGACGTAACGCTGTAATACCCTCATTTGTATTTCGCTTCGCTGTGAAATCGGCTCCGCTTGTTTGAAATAGACATGGTGGATTTCAAAAGCTTGTCAGCTTTGGCGAGATTCCCTTGAATGACTGAAGCGATAATTTAGGGATCTGCATCTATCTGTTCGTTGTATGGTCACAGAGAGATGTCACATCGTATACTTCATCTTCAGCTGGGGAATAAATGACCCAGATTACATTGTCACTTTTAACAAAGATGAACTGGTCATGCGTTGTCTATTTCAATGTACATTTCACTAGGATGTGCTCAATTTCAGGAAAGGACAAATTGACGTGCCACCCTCCGGGTCAGATGGACGCAGGTCTTAGTCCAGGTATGTGAAACCAACGACACCAAATCGTGTGTCTGGACAGCGGTCAGCGTCAAAATAGCCGCAGGTTGTTCGTGGAGGGTCCGTCCGTGTCCGAGAATATTATGGCCTTCCGCTAGATCTGACTTCAACAATTGTCGGAACCTCCCCAACACTCATCTGAAATAAATGTTTACGTTTCATGTATATTTCAACGGTCAAGCTTCTCAGCGATGTTAATTTCTATTGATTGCCGGAGAGTGGTGTAATACTACAACAATAGCTAGACGTGTGTAATTGTTAATCCCCCCTCTGGCGTTATTTTTTCACTTCTGATAGCATCAGAAAAAATACAAAACCTCGACTCAAGAGAACCGTACGTCTTGAACTCGACGTTGTTGATTTCGTTATCAGCTGATCGATGTCATCACGATTAGATTCACATGGGCCTGGGAATTGACAAGTGAATTAAAGTACTATCTATTTCACTCGGCTACAACGTCTGAGCAATATCAACGTCTGAACTGCACGTGACCTACATCACCTGGTACACTTGACACGTCTATCTGCGAGATGTATACTGGTGGTCATAAGTTAGGCAACTACTACAGTTAACCAATGTTGATTAGGTGAGGTGAAATGGGGTTTAACGTCGCGTCCAAGATTATTGCACTTATATAGCGACGTGCATGCACGTGTGTGTGTGGCTGCTTGTACTAGTCCGGACTGATGCCGATTTATAGTGCTAGCTCACTGAGATACCATGCCGCAGTTTAACAAGAATACCCCACTCAGACACAGACACACTGACTCCGAGCCGACCAGTACTTGTTTTAGCCCCTTAATGCCGAGCGCCAGACAGGGTAACAACAAGTACCACCTTTAAACGTATTTTGGTATGACGCGGTCGGGGATCGAACCCCGGGCCTTCCGCTCTCCGGGCGGACGCTCTACCACTAGAGCACGGAGGCGGCTCGAATGTTGATTAAAGTCCGTATTATATAACAGTTCTTTATAACATAAAAATCGTATAGTCATCTCCTATGTATACTCACCGACAAAAGAAACGTGAATACCATCCATGTTGGTTAATATATGAAGAATTACCTATAATCAAGAGACATTAGATTGGTTCGATGCACAAACGGACATACTGTTATGTTATGTGAACCGACGCTCACAAACGCCTCACGTGTGACGTCATAGATCCGTGACTCGAGATGCACTATTTGTCTCGTGCAGGATAAGCGTTTAAAGTTTTGAAATCCCGTGCAACCACGTGATAAGAATAAAGCCACTGTGGTAACTATCGTTAACACTCTCCACTTCTTGCGCATATATACACGAAACGAAACATGACAGGTTATGATGACGTGACACTTTTTGTATGGATAACAACTACTACGGATTAATGTGAAGGACAATTATTAACTGTAAACATTATTAACTGTAAACATTAAATAGCCAACATTTAAATACAGTCAATTCTCGTTAATCCGACATCGTTAGTTGCACATGATTGTGTCGGATTAACGAGTATGTCGGATTAACGAAATTAAGTGATTTGTGATCGAAAATCGGACGTCTTCACGATAGATAATAACCGTGTGTACCTTCTAATAAAATCATTAAAAACGAAATATTTATATTGTTATGTTGTTTATTCATTCATTCCTTAATTTATAATTATATAATTAATGACATTGCAAAAATAATAATAATTTTCCCATTTATACATAACAATAGAGACATTACTCACTGAATGTATTACTGTCATGTTCTAGGACTAGTGGGTGTCACGGTACCCTGGGCATTCCGATGCATCTCGTTTTAGAGGATTATGTGTTATGAAAATCTTGTTTACTCGAAGTCTAGCTAACCATCGAACCATACTAAGTTCGAGATACGCGGAGTATCGAGAATGGGTGAAGTGAATTGGGTTTAACATGACGTTCGGGATTATTGCATGTGTATAGTGACGTGCGTGCACGTGTGTGTGTGAGGATGGGAGCACTAGCTTGGACTAATGTTTTATTGTGCAAGCCCACTGAGATACCATGCCGCAGTTTAACATGGGTACCCATTCAGACAGAGTATACTGACTCCGATCCGACCAGTCCTTGTTTTAGCCCCCTAATGCCGGGTGACAGGCAGGGAAACAACAAGTACCATCTCTTAACGTCTTTTGGTATGACGCAGACGGGGATCGAACCCCGGACCTTCTCTCTCAGGGCAGAGGCTCCATACACTTGGCCACGAAGGCGGTCGGAGCACCGAATATGTATAAGAAATAATGAAGGGCCTAGATAAGCGAATAGTGAAAATCGAATTAAAAAATTTCACTGTGTTCAAATTCTTCCCCTTTAATTATACGTGTGTCTCGAACTACGTTTACCTCGAATGTTGTTCAAACCAACGATAAACCCAACTCATTGATCTTTGTATTTTTTTATTTTGATATAGCGAGAGACTAACATGGATGAAGCCCCACTGGGGGCAACGGATGACGGACATGCATGTCCTTGTTAAACACTATTCAAAGTCATTTGGATTTCCTTTTGTTTGTTTTGTTTGTTTGTTGTTTAACGCCGCACTCAGCAATATTCCAGCTACAAGACGGCGGTCTGTAAAATAATCGAGTCTGGACCAGACAATCCAGTGATTGACATCATGAGCATCGATCCGCGTAATTGGGATACCATGACATACATCAACCAAGTCCGCGAGTCTGACCACCCGATCCCGTTAGTCGCCTTTTACGGCAAGCAAGACCTATTCTACCCCGGATCATCACGGGTCTTGGATTTCCTAGTTACTGGTGACACGTCACTAAATGTGCACGACGACATACCACTGTTTATGACATGAACTAACCATGACTATTGATTATGTATCATTGTGGTATCTCATTCCCATTAATCATAGGCTATATAAATCTAGTTCTTTGACACCTTCTACGTTGGCCCTCAAAATATATTACATATTAGAACTGGATGCATTCCGTATATACTCAGTCTTTGGTTTCTTTTACGCAGCAGAAATGTTACTTTTTAAGATGCGTTGTATTGATGTAGTGTGGGGAATGATAGCTGTCTTCGAGCTTTATAAAGAAATATCCCGTTAAAACGCTATAGCCAGGCAACATATGGATCGACATGTACAACTGTTTGCTGTGATCTGAGGAAGTTATCTTGACAACTGATGGTAATAAATCATGTCAGAGAGAGCATGTCAATAGCGTTGATTTGCCGTTACTTGAAGAAAACATACACATGTATTCGAACAACGAAAGATCTGGTATTAAAAAGTTTCAACGTGAATTGCTTTACATAATGCTTCAAGTATATATGTTCGCCTGAAATTGTAAGACTAAACCACGAAATAGTTGACTATAACATGAAACTATAAGACTAAACCACGAAATAGTTGACTAGAAGATTTCCTTAGTTCAAGTACCTCGTTAATCCAGACGTGCTGTGTAAGACAACCGGCCGGATAAGCGAGTTACATCAAGTTACAAAAACACTGATGAATTAATTTTAAAAAATGAATGAGATTAAGCTGAGGACTATCAACCTATTTTCAAAATGAGCGATCATATGTCAGTTGTTAGTGAGGGAGTGGGGTTTGACGCCGCTGGAACCAACTTTCCCTGACATATCCAAGACAGGGCTCTGTACATTAAACCACGGACCTATATTGTTATACAAGACCCTGATTAAATCCATGCAGGATTAGAATCCGAGCCTTTGGAGTTGAGTTGCGTCCCTTTGTGTTGCCAGGAAACTGTGATCGTAGGTTCGAATCCTAGATTCACCCTGATTATGTTTCTTGGTTTGTCAGCACCATACTCGTGCTCGAGTTAAGCAGTAAAGGCCTTAGACTGCATCGCTTCAAGCTTTCCTCCCATATCAAGCTGATACGCCGTGAGATAACTGAAATAATGTTCAAAGCGGCGTAAAACCAAACTCACTCACTTCGGCATTAGATGCCCCACCACTTCAAACGTTGGGAGATGATTACAGTGAAAATCCGTTATTCCAGAACCTCTGCATTCCAGACTACTGCTGGTTGGAACGTCTGCATGAATACAAATAAACATTACTCCGTACCCATGATTCTATTATCCATATATTTGTTTATCTGGGCGATTTTACTTGGAATGGTACCGTCCGTTTGTTTGTCTGTTATTAAAGACGAAGACAGGAATATTCCATTTCTATAACAGCTGCAGCGTTGCGCATCGCACAGCAAAAAAACACACACGCATCACCCGCTTTCCATGGAACTTGGCCGCATATGTAGCCAAGCGTTTGCTTGCTTGTTTGTTGTTTAATTCCACACTCAACAATACTCCATCTATATGACGACGACATGTAAATAATCGAGTCCGGACAAACCAGTGATTGATATTATGAGCAACGTCCCAAACCCGTGGAGATATATATACGAGTCATAAAGATCCGAGTACACGACATGCTTTAGAGCCAGCTGTTGTTTGCAGCACACTTCAACATGGCCAGTTGGCTGGCGAAGATCCGGGTTTGTCGTGAGGGATCGGGTGGTCAGGCTTGCTCATGATGCCAATCACTGGAATGTCTGGTCGAGAATCATTTTTTTTCAGACAGCCCTCATATAGCAGGAATATTACTGAGCTCGGCGTTAAACAACAAACAAACAAATAAATACATGTCCGATTAGCTACAACACATATAATATTATTACAATCAAAATATCTCTACTTTACTGAATTACTAATTAGAATACTTTGTTTAATCGAAAGTTACCTTCAAAGGGTCCAAGATCGAAAACAATACCGGTGACCGGAATCCAATTTATTCGCATGGATTGGTTGAGAGTCGCCCCGCCATTGAAGAGTCGCTGATCGATACGGGTATCTAAACGCAAATATATAAGCACAGGTGAAGCGACCTGACAAATAAATGTAAACGCCTTTATGATAAAAGGAAATAAACGTCCATTAAGAAGTCATAAACAGGATTAACATCATTCCAAACGTGTCCTTAAACAACAGAATGTCTATAACATCTACGGAATATGAAATGTATCGCTTGGCATGCGGACCAGACAAAACAGTTATATTCCAAAATACGAAGATACATTGTTTTCAATACAAATCCCCATTTATATCAACCTCGAGGCGGTTTTATATCTTTCGGCGGTTAATGATACCATAAACATATCACCGACTGACAAAGGTAGCACTCCAATCAAAAAAGCCCATTGTGTTGCCGTTTGAAAGGTGATAATGACATGTGATTGAAAGAAATGTACAACACTTTGGGGAAATCTAGAACACCAACGGTGTGCCTGGGGTACAGGCTTTGTCATCTTGTGTTTGTTTGGCTTAAACGACATATGTTCTGTTGGGAAAAATTGCGACCATTTTCTTTGATCAAGCTGTAAATTCTTCTAATCGGTTAATGCGGAGAGTGTCGCTGTTTAATGTGGTTACTTCTTAATCAGTGGGGTCGAGCTAATGATAATTTGTTAATGGCGCTGGATCTCTCTTGGGGTTATAATTAACTCCAGTTTTCTTGATTATGTTTCTGTAATAATCAACAAGAGTATGGTGTTTTTCAGTACCTTTGTCAACATCTGTTTCAACACAAGAAACTTCATCGACATCCGAGATACTTGTAATCATAGACCAGTGAACATCCGGGGTAGAAAAGGTCTTCAACAACCCATGATTGCCGTAAGAGGCGACTGTGCTTGTCGTAAGAGGCGAATAACAGGATCGGGTGGTCAGGCTCGCTGACTTGGTTGATGCATCTTATCGATCTCAATTGCGTGGATCAATGCTCATGATGTCAATCACTGGATTGTCTGGTCCAGACTCGATTATTTTACAGACCGCCGTCATATAGCTGGAATATTGCTGAGTGCGGCGTAATACAAAACAAAATCAAACAAACTTGTTGTAATAACGTAATACCATGAATAGTTCACGTAAAAGCTGTTACATTGGAATCTTTATAAAAACGTTTATCCAACGGACGTTCACATGCACCGAAACAGAGACGAATCGTTATTTGAAACGACAGTAGTTTATTTGTTTCTGTTCAGGATTAAACTAGTAATTCCGGAGAAATCCCTACGGGCACTGGAATGAAATGGGTTCAATAAAATGTTGAGAAGCATTAAACCAACCTATTAATAGCTGATGCTGACGGGGGTGTAAAATGCTTGTTTTCTCGGAACAGGTCGTGTTTGAATAATTGCTGGATGAAAATATGATATCCCAAGTAAATCCTATAACTCCTATAACTGATTGAAATAATGAGCATTTCACTAAAAGGCAGGTGCGGCTTGGTGACCAATAAACAGTATTTTACCCATTTTGATATATAAAGAATCCAAAAAGTTCTTATTATAAATGGTAAATTATAGACAATAAACTGGTCCTGTCGTGATCTGCAACTGGGGGTCTGCGTATGTGAAATGAATCTTTTGATCTCCCCCGATCTCTCACAGTCGGCCTCTTTCATCAATTCACGAGCGTTCACCCTGCGATCAGCGATGGCATTTTACAGCAACAAGATAGTTTGCTAAATCGTCCCTTTTACACCCAAACTGATTCTATCACAGACGCATTTTCCGATAAACATATAAAAATGTCTTGAGGTCTGATTTAAGTGCGGTCATCACCATGTCAGCGATAATGTGGTATTGTGTTCACGGCTCACCATCATGATTATCCAAACTACGGATAGCGTGCCGTGTGTTTTGACATTATTATTATAATCTCAGTTTCTGTCGAATGTATCCACTGACTCTCTATCTGGATCGTTACCGAGACAAAGTGGTTCTTTTTTCACGAGACACATTGCTTTGTTTGATTATAATTACCGGGCAACCACCTGCGACAGAATGACAGGAATGATGTCCATTTCATGTATATTTCAAGCCCGGTGAAATAGACATCGGTACTTTCAAATGATACATTACCTTTCACTTTAAGATAAGGGCTACTGAATGTTCTATTTGGTTTTGCTACAAAAATAACAGACCCAAGCAAACAAGCTAAGGTATGTCCATGATCTACCTTCTTTCACAGACGCAGGTGAAGCTCTGTCGGCGGCTTTGATCATGATGGTCGACGCAGGGAGCGTTTTGCACATCGCTGTAAGTCTCATTGTTGTCGTGTTTATTTCTCATCAAGCTGCATGCCGGAGGCTCCCCATCGTACTTATTGTTGGGGAGAGGTCGTCACCTGTCACGAATCTGTCGAATGTTTAACAACTGTGTATAACAATTGTATGTAGCAACAGACTGTATATAACAACTGTATATCACAACTGGTCATTGTGGACATTGGTAATGTTCATATTTTTTCAAGTTTATAATATTTTAACATCCAACAATAAATTCGATAAGAAGTATATCAAAATATGTTGGGATTTATTGAATCAGTTATACTAAATTTTGAAATTCCTTTGATAATATGACCATGCAAATTTTAGTAAAACTAATTTTTGTGGGGTGAGTATTAAATCTGAAGCTGAAACAAAGTCGATACTTTTGGATTTGTATATAATACGTATCATGATTGACCAGGAGTGTAGAACACGCTGAGATTTAACGATGCATACTTATAATTACATCAATAAACCAGTGTCATATCTTCTACATTTAATTTTCATCAAACGGGATTTCACGTAAGAAACAATTAGTGACACCTCGCTAGTCCGGACAAAGTTAGTGCGGACACCTCGCCTCTGCGATTACGCGGAGAGCGACTATATCTGATGGAGTGACATTACTCTGTTCCCACATTTCGTTAATCCGGAAGTTTCGATAATCCGGACAATTTCATCGAGAACTTTACCGGTGAACGGGTTGCCAGTGTCATGCATTACGTTTTTCGAACACATGTATAGCGAACACCTGGTATCATCACTATGTGGTAGTCATTTATAAACACATGCTTATGGTATAGATGGAATTGTACAATAGACTCGAATTTTAGCAGAGTTTTTTTATGATTATGAAAATGGGTCGGTCACCTTTTTTATAACTTACAACATGAAATGGTGGATACGTCGTTTTCTAATAAACCAACTTGCTGACGGGGTTAACCTCTTTGGTCATGTGGACAAGGCGTCCGACCTCTGATCAGAAGGTCCGTGGTTCGAATCCCATCACGGGACTCGGAAATTTTATGGCCGCTACACCTATACCATAGGGTATCTACTGTCATCCCAAGGTTTATATAGATAGTGTTAGTCATTATGATCCTACGAGGCGGTAAAGGTTTACAATAGTTAGCCTTACAATGCCTACACCCATCAAGAACAAATCTTACTTAAATGTTAAAGCTCATTTCAAGTTCAGGAAGGCGAATTAAATGCATACAAGTTGATAATATATATTTCAGTATACTAAGTATAACCGTCTTTTATATGATACAACACATGATATTACGTGATCTTTCGCTTTTGTAAGGGCGGACATTTTGTAAAAACCGACACGAGATCTAAAAATATTTTCATATGATGTTCAATGTCGCGTCAACAGATAAACGAACTAACGCCCATATCCGTTACTGGAGCCATAAATAAACACGCAGTTTGTTTTGATTAGTCTAGAAGCGGCCACGTGAAATGATATTTTACTCCAGCTTATTGTCTATAATGATAATTAAATATGTTATCATTTATCAAATATGAGTATTTAATCCAGATCCGACGTTTCTGATACTACTTGAGTTACTAACTGTAGGCCTGGAATCACCGGAAGTGACGTTTTCTCCTTTCTTCAGATCGTCATGACTAAATAACAAAGAAATTTAATTTGTTGTTTACTTACTGATGAAATTGAATATGGTTTTGTTTGTTTTGGAATAAAACAATTTTTTTTATATAGATGGTTATGCTGTATCAAGAAAAAACATCCGACATCATTTCTAGAAGCTGTGTTCCTTCTTACACTGGGGCGGTCGGATAGCATAGTGGTTAAAGCGTTCGCTCGTCACGCCGAAGACCCGGGTTCGATTCCCGACATGGGTACAATGTGTGAAGCCCATTTCTGGTGTCCCCCGCCGTGATATTGCTGTTATATTGCTAAAAGCGGCGTAAAACCATACTCACTCACTCACTCCTTCTTACACTGACTTCTTACCAACCAAGACATCTTTGGTACACGTGATCAAATCAATCTGACAATTGCTTGAATCCTCGGTGAATCGTTGCAATCCTAATTGTTCTAACCACTCAAGCCCGTCTTATTTGCCTGGATTTAGTAAAAAAGCGGGATAACTCTTACCATAATTGGGTGTCAAGGAGACATGTGAAGTCATGACTAAACTATTGATCCTGAAGCCCTACCCCTAGACTAACATTTAGTCTCTGAAATCTTATATTACACAATATCCTTCTTGACTCTAAAAATAAAAATAAAATTCCCTATGCTGTTGAATAGAGCTAGCTTGAGCTGGCTAGACTTGCTTTTGTATGCATTTCTAGATTATTATTTTTTCATAAAATAAATATATTCCACGGTCATGGTGCAGGACTACCCTACCCCCAACGCACGCAAACACAAAGAAACACACACGCGCGCGTACGCACGCAGGCACACGTACATGGAGAAAAACCTTTTCTCTAAACACATAGTAAAAGTATAATTACAAGCACTGCGCGATGACTCGGTACTGGTGTGGTGTGTTAATGGCAGGTGGGTGAGTAAGCGTCTTTGGCGGACGTTTTTTATGCTTCAGCCAGCGCCATTATGCGCCAGCTACTTCATAGAAGGTCGGTTAGAGATTGATTCGGCGGACGAGTTTTAAGACCAATGTCAAAGCCAAAAACAATCCTCCACCGCCAATAATTCTCCAGGCCCCTAATTGCAATAACGACGTTTCGAGGTTTTATTACACGAACACATTCAAACATTCGTTTTTACACAGCACGTGTCGGAGAGCCAAGTCAGATTTTAAGACAATGGCGACGCGGGTTTATATCTCCGAGAGTACAACATTAGGGATTTGGCCGATACACACCATTAATAATCTAAACCTAAGAGGACATCGGGGAAATAGACGCGGGTTATTTTGTGACATTCTTCTACATGTTTAATTTAGCCTTATGGGCTGTGCTCCAAATTATTGATCCCTGTTGCAATTTCTTTTGACGCTCGTCGTCTCCTTCCTGAGACTAAACATTGGTTATTTTTAATGACTTTCCTCTCTTTTCTTTGTGTTGTTATGTAACAGTGCGCAACTTCTGAAGTATTGCTGAATTGACATTAACATATTGTAACACGTCTTATGCCAAAAAAACCTGCAATGTCAGATAATATTCTTCAAGCGGGTTTATAATTAATGGAAATGTCAACAGATCATATTGGCAGTTCTTTAACATCTCCGCGAACCTGACAAATGATGCTGTTTTTGTAGCTGTTAGTGATAAAAGGATATTGACAAAATAACCTCACATATAGCTTGTCTGTTATTCACGATGGAATACCTCTCGGCTGTCTTATAGCAACTGCCGTGCTTCGGGGGCAACCCAGTTCCCAAAGGGTCCGCAGGCAATTCGTTGGACGGAGTCCCATGATTCGTTGATCTGTTGAACGTATCCGCCCAATTAAGATCATTGATAGTCTGTCTTACAGACCCTGATACAAATATATATCAAATACAGCCCATGCAAGTCTGTAATGTTTGGCAAGTCTATCTGAAAATGAAGAGAGTCACTGGGCTCCTTTTTATTATATTTGTATTAAGATAACTGAACAACTGTTTTTTTCTGTACGATATGTTCATTTCAGAGACTAGATGTTAGTCTAGATCATTGACAGCAAAATAGTAAATATGTATGCTTGTCGCAAGAGGTGACTGTCCTTGTCGTAAGAGGCGACTAACGGGCTCGGGTGGTCAGTTTCGCTGACTTGGTTGATGCAGCTCATCGTATCCAAATTGCGTGGATCGATGCTCATGATGTCAATGACTGGATTGTCTGGACTCAATTATTTACAGACCGCCGTCATGTAGCTGTAATATTGTTGACTGCGGCATTAAACAACAAACAAACAAACAATTAAACAAACATGTACACTAGCGGCATCATTTGTTTTTCCTTATCTTTTAAGCTGACAGACCATGATCTAACTGAAATACTATTCAGTGTGGCTTAAATTGATTAATGCAGCTTCATGAATGTGTCTGTCACTTATCATACTTAAACAGTCATTGGGCCTGAGTGAGAGAAAGAGTGAGTGAATAAATGAGGGATGCTTGAAGGAGCGAAGGAGTCAGTGAAAAATGAGTGGGAGAGTTCATCAGCAGCATAACACAGAGTTTAACTGTATCTAGAAAACCAGTTGCTGACAACCATGTGGTCGATTATGTGAGCATGGCACCACGCAGACACACAGGTTATAGCTGTGTGTTAATACATTATGACATTATCATGGTGTTAAGCTGCAACGACTCTCTATCAAGGATGGCGGGACGAAATACGTGTTATGTATCCATTCGGTGAGGTGAGGTGAAATTGGGTTTAACGTCGCGTCCAAGATTATTTATCCATTCGGAGCTAGTCAATGATCTTGTTGAGGTTACACACAACCAAATGTTTTCCCATAGTAACGTTATACGTATGTTTTTTTAAATGGCTAAGTATTCAACAGCTATTATCTGTACATGTGTGCCTAGGCTGTCCTTTAAGCAGCAAAAAAAATGACTTGTTTAGCCGCCTCCTCTTCCGAGTACAGGAAGCGGAACACACCACCCCCTGTTCCGCACCAAATGTCACGTGCTTGAATACTAGTATATCTGTGGTCACATTCAGCATAAGTCATCATTTTAAAAAGACAGTACTAAATATAGGAAAAATATTGTCAGTTTTAATTACTAGATTGACATTTAAAAATCATCAAAATCTTCAAAAATTATCCAATCACAGCTACCAGTTGATTCAGTGCATTGAAGGTTCTACAAAAACTGCTTAATGAACGACTGATTCTGATTTGGTGTATTAGAATCTTGAAATTCCCCCCTGGAGACGCTGGTTTCAATTTTTCATGATGACAGAGGACACGATTCAGAGGATTGTGGTCATGCTCGGTGTCTTGTCTTACAGCGTGTCAGCGTACCCCCATGACGTGGAAAGGTGTTCATACCCTTAATCACTGGTTTGTCTGGTCCAAACATTTAAATATTGTAAAGTACAGGCGACCGCTTTGACAGGACTGCGGCGTTATACAACATTCA